AATCCAAATCGGCTCAAATTTTTACCATATATAGTATTGATATTAATTTATTATATATAAAATTTTCAGTCGATTTGGTCTGGTATTACTTGAGTAATCGCTTGTATACGTTAATCAATTTTTTTAAAAACATTTACTATCATGTACAAACAATTATTCGGAAACTATGAGACTAAATTAGCTAAAATTTTATATATAATAGAAAATATATTCACAATATATAGTAAAAGTTTGAGCCGATTTGGATTGATTGTTATCGAGATATCTATTATTAAGTTTTGAGTAAAAATAGCATATTTAAATAAGATTTAAAGTACAATTTTAATAATGACTGTTTTAAATATATTAAATAATCGGTAGAGAAATTTGATTTGGTTTAATTTGGTTTGTTTAAATTTGATGATACGAAAACAAATTAAATCAAACTTTCTATCTCTTCCTTGAATGTAATAAATTTACAATCCTATTGAAAATTTAAAAAGTTTAAATATAGTTGTTTTAAATATATTAAAGCTAATTCAAGTTTAGATAAAAATAAATTTTAATAATAAAGTATTATTTATAATATTGAAATTTTATTTATTACAAAATTTTGTTATTATTATATTTTATAAAGTAGACAGGCTACTTATAAATTTGAAAGTATTAAATAATAATTATACAGTATTAAACAAAGATGTTTATTAAATCAAATATATATTAATACTATACTCGTATAAGCAGTTTTTTTCACAGTAGAGAATTTGTTAGTTACTATGCACTCAATTACTATTTGAGTATCTATAGTTGAAACTAGCCATCTTTTTGAAGTATAATGCATCTACAGTCAGACCCCCCTAAATGCTACTCCTAAATGCAACACCTCTCTAAATGCACGTCTTCTTTTGGGCCCAGCCAATATTAAATCTATAGATTTTTACCTCCCTAAATGCAATATCTCTCTGAATGCACTTGCTAGAGCTGGTCCCGACGACGTGCATTTAGAGAGGTCTGACTGTATTAACACTGATATTCGATATTCGCATCCTAAACCATATTATTCTATACATTTTAGTACAAATTATAATTAATGACTATTTAGAAAAATTACTTAAATTTGCTCAAAATTTCTTAAGCTCTAAACTAAAAATTATGATCATTTTTCGTGTCACCTATATGAGGCTACATGCAATTTTAAAGCCTGTAATTGTACAAAGGATTGTGTTTCAGAATTAAAACTATATGTTATAAATTTCTGCATCAATAGTATCATAATGTTCATATTTATTATACGAGAAATTTCATAATAGCTAATAAGAAATATGGAATGAAAGAAAAAATTATTATCTGCTAATAGAATGCAGAGATTACACTTTTGAACGAAACTATTTTTTTTTTACTTGAAATACTTCATAATCTGAAATCGTAACTGATCCTGAGAGGTTGATGCTAGAATAAGAACTTACATTAAATGACCAATTACTATTGTTATTTGGCACATGTAAATCATTTCCACTTCCGAAAGTTGGACCGTGATTATTATTGCAATAGATTGCATAATTATTATTATTGTTAACGCGTCCTAATGTTGCACTTTTGAGATTATTAAGATCATTAATTGAAAACAAAAAGCTATCTGTTGTTTGTTTCCATCCAACATTTCCATTCCAATCAAGTGGATTATAACCACCAACCAGTTGATTTGTATTTGAAATTTTTCCCACAACAATTGTAGCCCCTTTATTGTCGCACTTTTGATGAAATGTATATGATAAAAAACCATCTCTGCTACTTCGAAAAAGAATATTAAATTCGTATATGAATTTCTTAGATTTTTTATCAATCCATTCTGTAAATAGTCGAAGAATTTCTTTATTAATTATAACCGAATCAATTTTAGAAAAACTTCTGGCTGGGAATACATTATATAGTGGTACTGCACTAGAAACCAAATGGCAACGTAGCACGTCTTCAGTCAGGTTTTCGGGAAGAAGGCGCCTGAATGGCCAAACTTTTGTGATAAATTTTTCTTTATCGATTTGGTGAAATCTTACAAATTGAAGCAATTCACGTAATGTCTTTCTTAATGTCTCAAAATCTTCATTAGTGAATTTCTTCACATCGCTCTTAAATTTTGGGTGTTGAGCGATTCCCCACTTGATTAACCGATCCCAGATAACACCTTCATCCATATCAAGATCACCACATTTAAGAATTATTATTAAAACGTCTTCTTCTAATGAAAAAAACTTGTCTGAATCAAATAATAAGTAAGGATTTTCACAAATAGTCTCCAAAGAAATCTTTTTGAGTTCGCTGAATGCTTCATGACGAGTAACGATATGAAGCATTTTAACTGAATCTTTTTTCAAGAAATCATAACGACGTTTAATTAAAAATTTTTGAACATGGTCCATTAGCTTTTGAATACCGAGTTCATCGGTGGCAATTAGGAGATCTAGGACAATCGAACCCTCCTGTGCTTGAAGATCAACAACTCCGCAATATAGAAACCTACAAATATTTAAAAATTATAAGCTTGGATATTATTGTTTTTTTAAACATTTTAACTATTTTAGCATTACTCACTTAAGAATAATTTCAAATACTAGCCCACTAATATTAGGCTTATTTAAAATAAAGGTGCCATCCTTTGTCTTTTCCGCCCAATTTGAAGAAAATACACCACGAAAATAGGCAGATCGAGTGCGAAGCACTAAAGAGTGGGCACAAATTTTTTTAACATTTGGTTCTTGACCAGAAAAGATAATAACATCGCAACTTTCTTTAGTTTCAAATAGTTTTTTATAATCATCCGCTATGTCTGCAAAAAAGGAAGAGTCCATTGTTACAATAAAAAATTATGAAAGAGTGGTATTTCATTATTTAAATAAAATCGTAATTTTACAATAACCAAATATATTATACTCGTATAGAAAATTTTAAATAGGCCAAGCTTTAAAGTATATGATGCGAATTTGATCACTAATACTATTTACTAGTTTATATTTTTCGAGTTTCTGAAATTATTTATTAGCAATAATAGTATAGTTATTGTTTCGAAGTAGTAATAACCAAAAATCAATCCCAGATCAGATGATCGGATAATGACTGACTGCTTAGACAAATCACAAAACCTCTTTTGTCTCTTTTTTTTTTAGCCAGCGACCTTTACTCCTTGGTAGTAATTTTAATAGTTTAAAATTTGGTATACCATTATCAAAAAATAAAAATCAAAAAAGATATATTATAAATTTCTGGATCGGCCCGAATCAGAAATCTGGACAATAATCGAGAATAATAGTATAGAAGTATAAATAAGAGCCGGGATAATATATTTAGACCATTTAAATCGAATATTTTTCATAGGATTGTCTAATAAATTCTGAAATTAGACTAAGAAACTATGAGAGATTGTAAGTTTTTGATTATCATAGCTCAGAGTCACGGTTATTTCCGTCAGATCAATCATGTAAAGTATTATACTGTACGTAACTAAAACATTCTATAAAAATTATGTGGTTTACTCGAGTTTTGTACCTTTCATCAAAAAGCTATTCAAGTAGAGTTGCATTCCGAATTATAAAAATGTATTTAAAGGGGTTAAATGGCTTTACAACATCAATTAAGTTGAAACCTTCAAACTCTCTCGATAATACTCTACATAATATAGAAGCTCTTAAAATCGATCAAAACAATGAAAACTGCACGTTTAAAAAATAAAAAAAAATAAAAAAAAATAAAGTTTATCAGATGAAATTTTTAATAAATGTTTTTTAAATTCCTTTAAACCTAATAATATTTCTATTGGTCATATGGTGAGAGCTGAATGGATGGTCATGCTCATGCACTCTTTAATACTATTAGTCTTGGCCTGAATTTTTTTAACTTATCTGTTGTTAAAGCAATAATTCCAATGGAGCTAAATTTCTAGTTACTTCATTCAACGGCTACTATAACATTTCGGAAAATTGGATCAACAGCTTAAAATATTAAAAACGGAACACAATGCAAATATTCAGCAACAAAATGCAAGAACACCACGGACAAGTGATTTAGATATTTGGTTTTATTTATTTGTTAGAAGAAGCGGATAGACAATTTAAACACATAAAACTTTATAAAAGAGAAATGATATGGAATTATTTCATATTTATTCGCTGGACCACATGTTATTAATGATGCTAGAGAGATATTGGATAAAAATAAAGACCAAATCTTCAATTAATATTGGAAAAGAGTCATTTTTATTCCACCACCACCGTAACACTTACAGGCACAAACTAACACAACTATATTTTTATTTCTGACTTGGAAATTGTAAATGTGTCAATGATCTTGCAATGCAAGGCGCTGTTTTAATTTTGTATCCACTAACTTTACTGAATGACCCAACTACCAAAGAAGTGTTTGACTGAAGCTTTAAAGCAAAATTAAAAGGAATTGAAGTTTTGATTTGATGAAACTTTTTTCTTTTAATTATACGTGTTTGTAGAATTAAAATTAAGAGATCACTGAATTATCATAAGTAAATATTTGTCGATTAAGTTTCAAAAAACCCTTTAAATTTAAAAGGATCTTCCTGGCCGGCCGTATCCCGACGCATTTCGATCCGGATCCCTCTTGTAAAAAATCAGATTCTCGCTGTACCACCTCGATTGACGATCTTATTTAAAGTTTTATTGTAACAGTATTAAAGCAGAAGGTTGTACATTATGATCCATAACGATAGTAAATTACATAATATACTGTATCGATATGTGTACAGACGAAACAAAAAGAACTCCGATGTAACGAAGAATTTCTTTTATGAACTGGGCTTAATCTCAAAAAAAAAAAAAAAAAGTAATAATAATTTTAATAAATTTACTTTTATATAAACTGAAATTTATTAATTTTTTTAATAAAAAGACTGAATAGTCTTATTATATTGAGGCTTGGTTGTGTGTTAAAACCTACGCCAAGTAGGTTTAAATATAGTTCACAGTTATATTCGACATATAAGCATAAAATGGTAGAAAATGACAGATGATTTGAATACTATGATAGATTCGACAGAGAAAATTTCAAAAGTTGGTGGTTATAGAGAAACCATTAAACCTTTTATTCCAATTATCATTACAATATCATTTCTCATCAAAGAGATTATAGAAATATATAAGAAAGCGCAATTTAATAAAAAAATATGTAATTCATTACTTGATCGAGCAAAATCAGCAGAAACAGCCATGAATACTCTGCAAAGAAGAAAACAAGAGAATGAAAAAAATTTTCTTAATCAATCATATTATAATAATTTCGTGAAACTTAAAATAATTTTAGAATTTTGCGGGAGAAGTGACACAAATTCGAGGGATTGACAAATACCTTAATACTACTAGTATTGAAGATAAATTTTTGGAATTGACTAGTGTTTATGATAAGTGTATGGAAGATTTACATTTTGTATTCGTAATTGCTCAAGACGAACAAAGAAGATATGATCAGAAAGGTTTGGAATCAGATCTGGCAGAAATGAGTGAGGTATTTACGTTGTTTGTTTTGTTAATCAATTTTGTGAATATATGGATATATGAATATAGTTTAACTAATTTAACCTCATAAATATTATGAACTAGTTTTTAAACCAGTTTCAAGGAGAATCCGAAATCGTTCAAGAATCCTTAAAAATTCTTCACCAGGAGGTATCAATTATCAAAACTCAATTAAGTCATCCAATACAGATTTCGGCACCAAGGATAGATCCAAAGCACCTAACAGATATTGAAAACGAAGAAAAACTATTAAAAACAGTAGAAAATTCAAGCAATATTATGGTTGTAAAAAAGTTATATAAAAATGCTATAGTATCGTGTAATAAAATTGGATTTCAAACACAAGGATTGTTAGCAATTTTAGGAAAATTGAATGAATGTCCAAATATTTTTAAATTCTTTGGAGTTTCAACATTAAAAGATTCCTCAACATTGAGAGAATATACCGTACAAGCGCGAAATAACGCCCACCTGCGCGTTAATTAATTGACCTGCGCGTTATTTCGAGTACGCGCATGCGCGTTATTTCGAAACAAGAATTAAATTCGCGCCCTAACTATAAATAGTATTTATTTATAATAAGAATAAAAAAGTGATCCGGAACTGGATTTGATATTAATTAAACCTATTTCTTGGCTTTAGCAAAAGTTGTTCTTCAGGTCAAGACGATTCCAATGGTGGTATAAACATCACAAACGGTCCAGTGCTTCGCCCACAATGTCTCTTCAAATTTTCGCAACGTTTGTTTACATTTGCAAACAAAGATAAACAAACGTTGCGAAATTTTAAAGAGGCATTGCAGGCGAACTATTGGTCCGTTTTTTGATAATTTACTACCGTTAGAATCGTCTCGATCTGAAGAACGACTTTTGTTAAAGTAAAAAATAGATTTACTTAATTCAACCCAGTTCCGAAGCACCTTTTACTCCTTTATATTTTTATATTTTTTATAGGGATGCGCGTTAATTATGGGCGTTAATTTGAAGCCACATATACAATTTTAGGGATATCTGATTTTCGAATTAACGCCCCTGGGCGCTTATACGGTAATGCGTTGGTTTTCGAATGGGCCGACATGGGAAATCTAAAAAATGTTTATGAAAATTATGATATACCTTGGAAAACAAAAATACAAATAGCCATTGATGTTTGTCGTGACATCACATTTTTAAATGCAATTGATATCTTTCATCAGGATATTAGATGTGATAATATTAAAGTAATAAATTTAACAGCTGTAAATTTAATAATTCATTGATATTATTAATTATTTGTCTAATGCAACATTATCACTTTGATAGATGACAAGTCGTTTGGAACCGAAGCTAGCCAATTTTCACTTTGAAAAAGTCCTTAATCATTCGGAAACAATTTTTAACGACGGTATTTTAAATTTTGTTCACTGGTTAGCACCAGAAAAAATGTATGAGTATATGTGCTTAAATGCCAGGAGACAAGAATATACACAACAATGTGAAATTTTCAGGTACATAATATACAGACATATTCTTTAATTCCTGTAATTTTTGTATAAATTACTATTATTGATTTTATGCAGTTTTGGAATGATGTTATGGGAACTATGTTTTGAAAGGGTTCCTTACCATTGTAAAGATACGGGATATATTACAAATCACGTTACGAAAGCTGGTAGGGAAAGAATTCCGGTTTACTCTGGAAGCAAAGAAGATAAAGAGATTTATTTTGAATTTATAAAAATTATAAAAATGGGTAAAATAAATATTAATAATAAAATTAATATGTTTTATTGTGATAATGAATAAAGCACATAACAAAAGTTTTTTTTTCTTTTAAAGCATGGGCGCATGATCCGGACGAAAGGATTTCTATAAGTAAACTTTATGTAATGCTTTCAAATATGCAAAAAAAGTATGTTCCTTCTGGATAAATGCCTGACCTTTTGCCAGATAAAGTCTTGAAATTGGATGAAGGAATATCGGAAGAATCGGTAATGTCAGATGACGAAGATCTTTATGGTGAAGAAGACGAAATTAAAAAAACCAATGAAATCGAGAAAATTCTAGAAGCTGATCAAGGAATTGACCTTCATGTAACAAGAGATCCAGCAAAAAGGAAAACGGCTTGGAAATGTTTTGTAGCAAATTCAGCTAAAGGACATTCAAAAGCAATTTTTTGGCAAGGATATTATTTATGGGAAGGGTATTATACAGATACAAAAAGAACACCGGATCAAACTATGGAGGATCGAAATAAAGCACTTAATCTTTTTAAAACGGCGGTAGATGATGGTATCGCAGAAGCACAACTACGTTATTCATTCGCATTAAAAGAATTAAAGCAGCTCAAAGCGAGTGAAGTATACGAAGAATTCATGCATTACTTGAGATTAGCAGCAGAGAATGGAAATCCGGTTGCAATGTTTAATTTATCTGATATTTACATGAACGGAAAGTTAAAAGAAAAGAAGGATGTAGCGACTGGTATAAGATATTTAAAACTTGCAGCGTTGAATAAAAATGAGAAGGCGATCGCGTTGGCTAAGCAAAGGGGTTTAAATATTTGCGATTCAAATTACACCGATGTTAGAGAGGTGTTTGAAAGTTATTTTATATCTGCTAAAGGTGGCAATTCAAATGGGCAATATAATCTCGGATGGTGTTATCAATATGGCACAGGTACATATAAAGATGAAAGAAAGGCGTTTGAATGGTATTTGAAATCTGCTGAGGGTGGAAATTCAAAAGGGCAAAATAGTCTTGGATTTTGTTATGAAAATGACATAGGCATAGTTAAGGACGAAAAAAGGGCATTTGAGTGGTATTTGAAATCTGCTAACGGTGGCAATTCAGATGGGCAATGTAGCCTTGGAACTTGTTACATAAATGGCATAGGCACAGCCAAGGATGAAAAAAAGGCATTCGAATGGTATTTGAAATCTGCTGAAGGTGGCAATTCGAATGGACAATTTAAAGTTGGATCCTGCTATGAAGAAAGTATAGGCACATCAGAGAACAAAAAAAAGGCATTTGAGTGGTATCTAAAATCTGCTAAAAGTGGCAATACTAATGGACAATTTAAAGTTGGAACCTGCTATGAAGAAGGAATAGGCACAGCCAGGGATGAAGCAAAGGCATTTTATTGGTATTTAATGCCTGGTAAAAAAGAGGCATTTGAGTGGCTTTTGAAATCTGCTGAGGATGGCAATTCGAAAAGGCAATTTAAAGTTGGAATTTGTTATGATGAAGGCATAGGCATAGGCAGGGATGAAACAAAGGCATTTGAATGGTATTTGAAATCTGCCGAAGGTGGCGATTTGAATGGACAACTTAAAGTTGGTAATTGCTACAGAAATGGTATAGGCACAAATAAGGATGAAAAAAGGCATTTGGGTGGTATTTGAAATCTGCTAATGGTGGCAACTCGGATGGACAATATAACCTTGGATCTTGTTACATAAATGGCATAGGTACAGATAAGGATGAAAAAAAGGCATTTGAGTGGTATTTGAAATCTGCTGAAGGTGGCAATTCGGATGGACAAAATAATCTTGGATCCTATTACGCAAATAGCATTGGCACAGATAAGGATGAAAAAAAGGCATTTGGGTGGTATTTGAAATCTGCTGAAGGTGGTAATTCGAATGGACAATATAACCTTGGATCCTGCTACAGAGATGGTATAG